TTGGTAGCTAGTATTGATTTGTGTGAGTTGACTGTGATTCCTGTCATCTTGTAGAAGGAGCTAGCTGTATTAATTAATATTTGTAGATTTGGTTTGTTTTCTGCTATCCATAACGTATCATCCATGTATGCTAGTATATTTTGTTGTTTGCTGATATATTTGTGTTGTGTGTGTGTTGATTGTGGTATTGTTGTTTCCATTGTATATGTGGGGTGTTTTCTATTGATTCGGGTAAGTAGGGGGTCATAGTATATTCTCCATAATAAAGGGGTTATTGTTTCTTCCTGGTTTATACTATCTTGGACGTGGTAGTTGTTGGTGAGTCTGTGATTTGTAATAATGTTGTTGTGCCTGTGGGATAGTATGTTGTTTATGATGTTTATTATTGGTTTTGGTATTTTAATACGTTGTAGAGCTTTGATTAGGAGTGGTATATATACGGAATCGTATGCTTTGCTCATGTCCTGTGATAGTATCCATAGTTCTTTTTTGTTTGTTTGAGTGTCTTTGATTATATGTTGGAGTGTGTGTATTGGTATTGTAGTGGAGGTGTTAGCTAAAGCTACATAATTGTTTGGATTTAATATGTTGTATTTAGATAGTATAGAGTCGAGTCTCCATACTATGATTTTTGTAAAGATTTTCTGTATATGTTCGATTAGTGTGATGAGACATGTTTGGTTTAAGTCTCCTGTGAATATTGCTTTTTTTGATATGGGGTATATTGTGCTATATTTCCATGCCGTAGACACGTCATGTAGTTTTAGGTATTTGTTGAATATGTCTAGGATCATTGATTTTGCTTGAGGGCCAAGATGTTTTAGCATTTCATTTGATATTTTTGAGGGTCTGGTAGCCTTTGTATTAGGTGCTTCTTTGATTATATTCTCTAGCTCGATAGGTGTAATTTCTGTTGTTGTTGTATCATACCATATTGAGTCTATTTTTTGGATAGGTTTGTATTCGTTAGCCCATTCTTGCCATAATTCTGTTTGGGTAGG